ACCATGAGAATTACAAAAATCATCTTATAGATATGACAAATTATTTTAAAGAGATGACAACTTATTTTAGATCACAAAAATAGAAACAAAAAAAAACCTCTACATTTTTACCTCCATCCCACTCACATTTTGACTCTTTGTTTTCTCAGTGTACGTATTTTTATATTGCTTATCTCTTAACTGGTTGCTGTAGTTCTTAATTGTGTTTGAGAGGTTTGTCTTTTAAACTCCTTACTAGAGTTCTGACTGTATTGCACACCACAATCACAGTATTAGAATATTCTGGATTTGTCTGTGTACTTACTTTTACCAGTGGATTTTGTACCTTAAAATGTTTTCTTTTTGCACGTTACTGATTTTTTTCTTTCGGATTGAAAAACCTTCTTTCACATTTCTTGTAAAATAGGTCTGATGGTGGTGAATTTGCTCACCTTTTGGTTGTCTGGTAACAACTTTATCTCTCTTTCATATTTGAAGGATGGCTTTGCTTTGTACAATATTTTTGCATGGCACTTTTTCTTTCAGCACCTTGAAAATGTCTTCCCCTTCCCTCTTGGCCTGTGTGGTTCCCATTGAGAAGTCTATTGCCGGGCAAATTGTAGCTCCTTTATATGTTATTTGCTTATTTTTTCTTATTGCTTTTTAGGATCCTCCTTGACCTTTGAGAGTTTGACTATTATATGCCTTGGAATAGTCTTATTTGGGTTGAATCTGTTTGGTGTTCTCTGACCTTCCTATGCCTGGGTATTTAAATCTTTCTTAAGTTTTGGAAAGTTCCGTTATTGCTTCTTTCAATAAGCTTTCTACCCCTTACTCTTGCTTAACTTCCTCTTGAACACCAATAATTCTGAGGTAATTTTCTGTGTCTTGTAGGTGACTTTCCTTCCGTTTGATTCTTTTTTCTCCTGTGACAGTATATTTTCAAATAACTTGTCTTCAGGCTCACTGATTCTTTCCCCTTCTTAATCCACCTTGCTGTGAAAGCCTCTAATGAATTTTTCAGTTCATTAAATGTATTTCTCAGTTCTACAATTTCTGTTTAATTTTTTATTATTATTTGAATCTCTTTGTTAAATTCTCTGATAAATTTCTAAATTTATTTTCTGTGTTACCTTGGAGATTGCTGAGTTTCCTTAAAATTTTTATTTTGAAGCTGGGCGCTGTGGCTCGCGCCTGTAATCCTAGCACTCTGGGAGGCAGAGGCAGGCAGATTGCTTAAGGTCAGGAGTTGGAAATCAGCCTGAGCAAGAGCAAGACCCTGTCTCTACTAAAAATAGAAAGAAAGAAATTAATTGGCCAACTAAAAATATAGCCGGGCATAGTGGCACATGCCAGTAGTCCCAGCTACTTGGGAGGCTGAGGCAGGAGGATGGCTTGAGCCCAGGAGCTTGAGGTTGCTGTGAGGTAGGCTGACACCACAGCACTCTAGCCCCGGCAACAGAGTGAGACTCTGTCTCAAAAAAAAAAAAAAACTTCTATTTTGAATTCTGGGTCAGAGAGCTCACGTATCACCATCTCATTAGGATCTGTCACCGGTTCCTTGCTTTGTCCATTTAAGAAGGTCATTATTTCCCTGTTTCATTATTGTAGATGCATGTCTGTGTTTTTGCATTGAAGAATTAGTTATTTATTCCAGTCTTTTCTGTTTGGCTTGTTTTAGTTTTTTTGGATATATTTGCTTAGAGATTCTTTGTAATTTTTGGCACTCAGTGTAATTTTTGTAATTTTTGGCACTTAAGATGCCTTAAGCCCAGGTTTGCCTCTGTTCTGGTGAGTGATCAGTGTGCTGCTATCCCTAATGTGTGAGGTCCCCATAGGGGATATCTCAGCAGTGTGGGAAGGTTAGCTAGGAGTTTCTACCCAGGGACCTGTGTAATATACCTCCTATAGTAAGGTGCTATTCAGCCACTCTGATATGGCATCTCCTTTGGCTGAGTTTAAGAGTAGAGTTTCTAAGGCTGAGAATAGTAGTCCTGCCTCCTGCCTTTGTCTCTGGATATCCTCTGGATGTTTCTCCCTTCAGGTACTCATGATGCTTCCTGTGGATTGATGTAGGGGCAGGTCTCCTGATAGGGACTACAAGATCATGGGGAATCTAGTAGTCCACCTGAATGTCACTTTTTAGAATTTAGAAGCTGTGAGTTGGTGGGAAATTTTCTGTATGCTTGGTGGTGGTCAGACTGAGGGGATTGGTGTCATGTACGTAGAAGTCCAATTACTGTCCACTCAGTTTTTTCACTTTTCTGTGGCCCTGGGAACTGTCTCATCCTTATATTTGAGTTCTGGGATATTGCTGGTAATAATCTCAGTACTGTATATTTGTTTTTGATTTTTTGTGGAGAGGATTGAAGTCTTCTTGCTTCTGCATTGCCATTTTAAAACATAAACTGATCTCAGAACTCTTAACTATATTCACTGAAAGCTAAAAATAAAGACTATAAAAATGGTGTTTCTATACTTTTTAACTTTCAAGGATGTAATACTGTGGGTAACACAATACAAAATCTGAAGGGTGATATAAAAATGATTTATTTGCCTACTGCATCGTCTTTCTAGCTGGTTCCCATTTCATTTTTTAATTATTTTATTTTTAGATAGCTGCTAAAAAATAATTGACAAGTAATGGGTAAATAATTGCTAGGAAGATAAAATAGCAAAATACCAAGATATAGGAAAAATTATATCCCTAAGACTTTATTATTACCTTAAATTTATAAAGGGGCCAAATAACTTCTTATAGTAATTGCAGGATAGAATACATTTTATTCTGCTAAAAAAATGAATACTTTTTTTGTTAGTTAGGAGACTTCTAACCAAGAGTAAGATAAAATATCAATGCTTATAAATAATTTGCTCAAAGAAGAAACTCAAACAAAAATTGGGTCTGATAGATCATGATGTTATACTGAGGGCTAATATAACTATATTCTTTAATTTTATTTTACCAAACCTGAACTAATTTATATTATGTATATTTCTTTCTCCTTTCTCAAGTGAAAGGGTTAGCCGTTATAATTAGTTACAAAATGATAATAATTTGCCCAAATAAGGCACTCTTTATCTTGAAGATCAAAGCACATCTTAATATACCACCAGTTGATTTATCTTTGCCCAATAGAGTGAAATTTTTGCATTTAAAAAAATAGAAAATAGTATTATATGTAATGTATATAACACGCACTTGCCCATTGGGACATTTGAATAGATCATTTTAGTTCATTAATAATACCTAAAATATTAAAAGAATTTTTCAAGTTTCTACATAAGAACAGCATGACTTATCATGTAGATACTGCTGTCCCAATCAATTCATAGTAGAACTATACGGTGTAAATCACAATCTGAGAGAATTATCAAAGACCAAAGTGAAGTCCAGGGGATCAATGACTGATGTGTAGTAATATTTACTTTCACCCTCAGGTAGACATATGAAAAGATACGTGAAGTAAAGAAATACCTGTAACCTCCAGAGACAAAGGCTTTCTACAAAAAAAAGGTCTTTATGTTTTTTTAGGGAATATTGCTAGTTTTTAATGGTGTGAAAGCCCACACTATTTTGAGACTAAGTTAAACAGGTACATAATTCAAACAGGCTTTATAGGTCATTTTAGTAAAAGAAGGGCTGGGAATTTTTGAAGGCTTAGTAAGCATTTTTTCTCTTCTTCAGTAGAGGGTATTATGGAAAAATAAGGAAAAAATTTAAATACATGCAATATGAGAGGGAGGGAGAGGTGGGGAAGGCAGCCTTGCTGCATGTCAGAGACAGAGAAAACCTTCAAATCTTAAAAAAGGGCAAATGAAGAGGAAGCAGGAGTGTAAAGGGAAGTGTTGGTGGAGAATATAGAAACCTGGTTATCTCTGTCCTTTGAAGGAAGAGGCTCAATGAACAAGTTTAACCCTAGGAAGTGAGTCAATCCCAAGTTACCTCTCTTAGATGCTTCAGGGTTGGTGAGTGTGTTAACCCATCTGAAACCAATCTAGAATTAAATTTTTAGAAGAGGCTAGAGTTTACTTGACTGCTGTCTTCCCTTTGAATCTTGGAAAAGAGTCAGTGCAGTCAGCAAATGTGTTTAAACACGTAGAATAGCTGCACATTGGAGAGCAAAACAGTTATTTTAGGACTTTAGGAATATGAAGTAAATTATGTATAAATTTATTTGCCTTTACGTGTTTGAGGAGGTTCTACCCCCATGATGGAGGAGTAAACTCCTGTATATAACTCAAGAAAAAATACAAAAATTAATTACTTGAGGACTTTGGAGAGTGAACAAAAAGCAGGCAGATTTTGGAGGGCATCAAAACTTGTAAGAAGTAACCCATACAGAATAAGATTCTCAGTCTTTGCTGCTTTGCTTTGAGGGCAGGCATAGTACAGCATAGCTAATGTTCCAATTGAAAACCCACCATTTTTCTATTCAGAAGAACCAGAGGAATAGGGCCAAGGCTACCAAGGCCACCAGAGAGGGGGAAGGAACCCAAGAAAAGGGAGAACCAGAGAATGGAAATTCTAAATGCCATATATAAACTTCACCTGAATCTCTGATTGGCATAGTCTTACATACATGCCCAGGGCAAACTGCAAGCAGTCTGGACCGAGATCTGAGCCTTTCTCTGCTTACCAGACATTGGCAAGTTTTCTGTTTGAGTTCAATTGCCTGCTAAAACAAAAACATTAACACTCTTCAGAGGGATACAACAGAATCCATAGTTATTACAACATAACATTCACAATATCCAGAATACAATCTAAAATTATTTGACTTATGAGCCAGGAAAATGTGAACTATTCTCAGAAGAAAAGACAAATCAACAGATGCCAACCCCAAGATAATCCAGATGTTAGAACTGTCTAACAAAGTCTGTAAAGCATGTATTAAAACTATGCTTAATGAAGTAAAGAAATATGTGCATATCTTTAAAAAGAAAGGAAGTCTCTCAACCTCACTAGCATGGACAAAAAAAATAAATTTAAAAAAATGGAAGTCTCAACAAAAAGAGAAAATATAAAAAATAAATGGAAATTTTAGAACTAAAAAATAAAATATCTGAAATTAACAATGACATTATTGGATAGGCTTACTAGCAGAACAGAGATGACAAAGAAATTTGTCAACTTTAAGATGAGTAATACAATATATCAAATCTGAAGAAGGGAGAGGGGAAAGACTTAAGCAAAAAATGGAAACTCACATACCCATGGAATAATTTTAAAAGAGTAAAATCAGTAGTAACAGACAATTGAAGCTACAGAAGCAGAGTGGAGAGAGATTACAAGAAGAGGACAAAAAGGAAGAAGAAAAAATAATAGTAATGGCCAGAACCTTCTCAAATTAGGAAAACATACATATTTAAGAAGTGCAGACAACCTCAAAGAGGATAAGTATGAAGCACACCATGCCTAGGCACATCATTGTCAATCTGAGAAAATCTTAAAAGCAGAGAAAAATGACATATTATATACTGGTAAGAACCATTTGAATGATTGTGGCCTTAACAGAGATAATGGAGGCGTGGAGCAACATCTTTAAAGTACTGAAAGAAAAAGAACTGTCAATTCAATTCTATACCTAATGAAAATATCTTTTGAAAATGAAGATAAAATAAAATTGGCTTCTTAGGCAGTAGTTATATGTTTAGCATACTGTTTAGAATAGGGACTCTGAAAACAGAATCTAGATTTGAATTTCAGCTTGGATACCTTTTATGATCATATTACATAAATTCTTTAGCCTCAATTTCCTTATATATTTTATTAATACTTTGTCATGGCTTCTTCTCCGGGAAAACACCAAATGGCGGATGACGCCGGTGCAGTGGGAGGGCCCGGAGGCCCCGGGGGCCCTGGAATGGGAGGCCGCGGCGGCTTCCCTGGAGGCTTCGGCAGCGGCATTCGCGGCCGTGGTCGTGGCCGAGGTCGAGGTTGCGGAGGTCGCGGAGCTCGCAGAGGCAAGGCCAAGGACAAGGAGTGGATGCCCGTGACCAAGCTGGGCCGCCTGGTTAAGGACATGAAGATCAAATTCCTAGAGGAGATCTATCTGTTCTCCTTGCCTATCAAGGAGTCTGAGATCACTGATTTTTTTCCTGGGAGCATCTCTCAAAGATGAGGTTTTGAAGATTATGCCAGTGCAAAAGCAGACCGGCGCTGGCCAGCGGACCAGGTTCAAGGCGTTTGCTGCCATCGGGGACTACAATGGCCACGTTGGTCTAGGTGTTAAGTGCTCCAAGGAGGTAGCCACTGCCATCAGAGGGGCCATCATCCTGGCCAAGCTCTCCATAGTCCCCGTGCGGAGAGGCTACTGGGGGAACAAGATCGACAAGCCCCACACTGTTCCTTGCAAGGTGATAGGCCGCTGCGGCTCTGTGCTGGTGCGTCTCATCCCTGCCCCTAGAGGAACTGGCAAGGTCTCGGCCCCTGTGCCCAAGAAGCTGCTGATGATGGCTGGTATCGATGACTGCTACACTTCAGCCAGGGGTTGCACTGCCACCCTGGGCAACTTCGCAAAGGCCACCTTCGATGCCATCTCCAAGACCTATAGCTATCTGACTCCTGACCTTTGGAAAGAGACAGTATTCACCAAGTCTCCCTACCAGGAATTCACCAACCATCTTGTCAATACCCACACCAGAGTCTCTGTGCAGAGGACCCAGGCTCCAGCTGTGGCTACCACATAGCATTTTTATATGAGAAAAATAAAGTGAAATTAAGTCTGTTAAAAAAAAAATACTTTGTCATGATATCTAAATTATTGAGTAATTATAGGTAGCAATGACAGGATGCTTCTTAGGTACTTAGTACCTGCTTGCCTATGGTAAATTGTTGGAAAACATTAGTTACCATTTGCTTATACATATTTTTAGTTTTATGTAGTAAATGCAGCCAACCTTTATGGAACTTCATATTTTCTGTTTTCATCTGTTTCATTTTTTTCCCAACATTAGAGAGGTTAGTTATATCTTGAAAAGGGAAGAACCACTAACAGTAATTCAGATTTTGTTTCTTAGTGTACTTGGTAGTATAGAAATAAATACTTCATATGCTGGAAGTTACTGCAACATTTGATGAATTTTTATAATGCTGTACTATGTGCACATTTAATAATAGTGTCAAAATTAGCCTTAAACAATTAATTGGCATTGGGAAAGTAGTTTTTGTCAAAAATGTTAACTTAGTAGGCTTTTCAAATATGCTAATGCTATTATAATTTAAAATTCTAATCTGTTAAATTTAAGCTTTTACCTTTTACAAAATAGATGAATATCTTGACCTTCAATGTAACATAGCTAGAACCAACAAGGGAAGAGAATGTTCTCATGATTTTTAAGGTTTTAACATTGACATTATCCTAAAATTCAAATCAAGGTATTTCAGTTTACCTTAAATTAATGAATACAATATTAAAGTAGCCAAGTCTGGGCTTATATAAATTTCAAAATTAATAGCTAATGTTGAATTTGTTCTCATGATGCTTAACTGTATGAATGTATTATAATATGTCTGGCATGAATGAATTAAAAATCACATATATGACTATCTAGAATATGTGCAGAAATATTTTTTATTAATGAACCCTGATAAGTAAATGCAGTTTTATGGGGTGGAGTGCCATTTATTCTTTTGTTCTCTCTTATTTCCCTAAAGTTAGGTGGCATTTGGTGTGTGTGTGCTTGAGGGGGGTGGTATTTTTTCTCTTGTCATTTATTTAGTAAGGAAGATTTTTGTTGGTGTGTTCTGTGATTTCTCAATTTATATGCAACCAGGCCCATAGACTTGGTCACATCCTAGAGAAATAAGTAAGAATAAAATTGAGAAGAGAGAATCTGTATTTGTTGCATGCTTACTCTGTGTTTACCGTGGTAGAGACTGTTACATATGTTATCACACATTTAAGCCTCAACAACCCTGGAAAGTAAGTTTTACAGACCTTGAAATCACCAAAATTGCTTAAGAAGACACAGCTAAATTTCAGAGTTTAAATTTAAATCCAGGTCTATCTGGCTTCAAAGTACTCCTTGCACTGTATCATAATGCCTCTTGGAGCTGAACTTTTTTAATTCAGTCTTCTTAAAATAAGCAGTTAGCATATTTAGAGCTCATTAATAAGAAAATAGATATTAGTAATTCTGGACTGCTTTAAAAAATAGATATCAGTAATTCTGGGCAGCTTTTCCTTTTGTGAATTAATAGCTTTCATTAAGCTAATATAAACCATTTATTGTATAACAGGTGATAGTGTAATAAATTAATCTGTTAATAACTCAGTGTTTTGCAATGTTTTTTTTAACTAATACTACCTTTCATAAACCTTCCTTTAATGTTAATTGACACTTCCAAAACAAAGTAAATATCACTAAAAACAAATAATTATTAGCTATTCTACCCCCCAAGTCATAGTTTCCCTAAGGAAAGAGATCATTTCATCAATTGGGAATAATGATTTTCACTAATGTGTTATAAGTCCCAGATGCTATTGTTTATTATCAGGTACTTTTGTATATCATATTTGTTTAATGTATTTCCATAACATAGTATTAATAATAGTTTCCAAATGGATTGTTAATATTTTAAAACCAGAGCCCTTTGTAACAAAATGATTATCTTTTTTTTAAAAGTCATATTATTATTGGTTTGGGCTTTTTCATCAATTAATTGGGACAGAAGAAGTATGTGAGTATGTTTTAAAATCAGTTACTCACTTCAAGATCACTTCTTCCTGATGTTTTTTTCCCCATATCGAGCAAGTCCTGAAGTAGTGCTTTTTGGACATTTAATTTTTTGTGTGTTTAGTTTTCAGGCATGTATGATATGGTTAGGAAGCAAGCATAATAATAATTTTCAGAGCCTTATTTTTTGTGAAAACCATCTTTTAAAATCTATCGATAGTAAATAGCTATTATCTGAAACAGTGTAGTATTTGAGTTGGTAACAATTTCAATATATATCAGTGTTCACACAGCTATTTCTAAAGAATTTGCAGAATCAAAGCAATGAAAGTTTTATGAACTTTCCCTTTTTTGTAGGTTACCCATTTATTCTTTTAGATTAGTGATAGCATATACATGAAGAAATTTTAGAAGAACTACACAGTAGCATTAGTAGAACAGAGATTTAAGGAAAAGTTTGAGATTTTCTCTTATTTTTGAGACAGAGTCTTACTCTGTTGCCATGGCATCATCATAGCTCACAACAACCTCAAACTGCTGGGCTCAAGTGATCCTTCTGCCCCAGCCTCCTGAGTAGCTGGAACTACAGGTGCACACCACGACACCCAGCTAATTTTTCTATTTTTAATAGAGATGGGGTCTTGCTCTTGCTTAGTCTCCAACCTCCTGAGCTCAAGCAGTCCTCCTGCCTTGGCCTCTGAGAGTGCTAAGATTACAGGTGTGAGCTACCTCACCCAGCCAAAAGTTTGAGGTTTTGTCTAAGATGTTATTTGAAAAGGATTATATTGCTAAAGTGTTTTACACCCTTGTCATAGACTATTAGAGTTGTAAGAAAACTAACAAATAAGCAGTGTATCAAGAAACTAATATCAAATTAAAAAAAATTTTTTTTAAACATTAAAACAAGGCCAGGGACAGTGGCTCATGCCTATAGTCACAGTACTTTGGAAGGCCAAGGAGGGAGGATTACTTGAGGCCCGAAGTTGGAGACTAACCCTAGCAACATAGTGAGACCTTGTCTCTAAATAGATAAGATAGAAAGGATAATTTTTCAAGGACAGGAAAATAATAATAACTTATACAACTCTTTCTGATTTTATTATATACTTTCCTTCTAATAATGTAGGATGTATATAGTGATAAATAGTATCATATCTCAGGCCGGGCGCGGTGGCTCACGCCTGTAATCCTAGCTCTTGGGAGGCCGAGGCGGGCGGATTGCTCAAGGTCAGGAGTTCAAAACCAGCCTGAGCAAGAGCGAGACCCCGTCTCTACTATAAATAGAAATAAATTAATTGGCCAACTGATATATATATATAAAAAATTAGCCGGGCATGGTGGCGCATGCCTGTAGTCCCAGCTACTCGGGAGGCTGAGGCAGAAGGATCGCTCGAGCCCAGGAGTTTGAGGTTGCTGTGAGCTAGGCTGACGCCACGGCACTCACTCTAGCCTGGGCAACAAAGCGAGACTCTGTCTCAAAAAAAAAAAAAAAAATAGTATCATATCTCAATTTCTCATTTGTAGTGTAACCCTATTCTATTATCCTGGCTTCTGTTGTAATTTTATATTAAAATGGTAAATTTCTGGCCAGGTGTGGTGACATAATGCCTGTAATCCTGGCACTTTGGGAGTCCAGGGAGGGAAGATTGTGTGAGGCCAGGTATTCAAGACCAGCCTGAGCAAGAACGAGATCCCCATCTCTACAAGAAATTTGATTTAAAAAGGAAATAAATTTCTTTCTATTAATAGATTACAGAACTTTAAAAATACAGTACCAAAAAAGATACTACAGGAGAAGCTTTTTCTCCTTTTTTAAGGATACATTATCAACTATCCCTTAAGACTTATGTGCTTTACTGTAACAAAATTAGTCTGTTCAGCAGCACTTTTATATAGATGTTTTTGCAAACATGATCTAGTGCCCAAAGAAAGAACCTGTCAGCCTACTTCCTTTGTTTTAATGAGTCAACATTCTCAGAAACAATCAACTTCAATAAGATATAAACTTAAATTTTGATAATTGTTGATTGTCCTGAGTGTGTTCATTTCTAAGATAAAACAAAGTTTTTATTGTTAAAGAACCTGAAAGACTTTTACAAAATATGCAATCCATTGTAAACTTGGCTTGGGGAATTTACCTTTGAAGTGACCCTTTAGTTAATGTGTTTATGTTAGAATATTTTTCATTCTGTGCTAAAGAAGATAATTTCAGGTTATTGTTCTATTAGAGTGAATTTAATATGTCTGTAGGATGAGGTAAAGTGTAGATTTTTTGACTACTTTCTGTTCTGTTCTTCTTCATCAGAATCAATTAAATGAATAGAAAAATGAAGGAAAAAAAGCAATAGAAGAGGGATATATGCATGGTTCTCACAAACAAGGCCTTATGTCTCTGGTAAAAACTCGAGTTTTTTTTTAGCATACATACTCTTGGTTTAGGATCTGTGGGGTTTCATTATTTCTGTTATGTCCTCTCAGTGATACATATAAATAAAGTCTTCCAAATAATCCAGTTTTAAAATATTTTTGAAATGTTTCCATATTATTTTGCAAAGATATTAAAAGTTAAAGCCAAAAATACAAAGTTGTACCTGTGCTTTCATTCCTATCATATAAAAATTGTGGGCATGTGGGTTAGTATATATATGTTTGCATATATGTGTAAAATAATTAGAGAAGAATGTGGAAAATAATCTGTTAAAGTTTTGGGGTTGTGATTTATTTTCTTGAAATTTTAAAAAATATATTTAAAAAGGAAAAAGGAAAATTTTAAGTCAGTCATGTATTTTTTGTTTTTTTTAATGTATTTATTTATGTGTTATTGTTTTTTGGTTTTTTTTTGAGACAGAGTCTCGCTTTGTTGCCTGAGCTAGAGTAAATGTTGTAGCTCACAGCAACCTCAAACTCATGGGCTAAAGCGATCCTCCTGCCTCAGCCTCCTGAGTACCTGGGACTACAGGCATGAAAAACCACGCCCAGCTAATTTTTTTGTTTCTATTTTTAGCTGACTGGCTAATTTTTTCTATTTTTAGTAGAGACAGGAGCTCACTCTTGCTCGGGC